TCTAAGATCATTCTGATAATGATAACAGCCAAAAATTACAGTGCCTTACTCTTTCAGACCCATCTAAATTTTATTCACAAATACAGACTCATTCATTTCCATTTACTAACTTTGAAGAAATGTAGCTTTCTCTGAAAATATTAGATAAAATAGTATGGCATCTATTGAAAGTTGTTATAGTAAAGTTCTTGTTATAACATTAGCTATAGAGAGAAAAAAGCTATTGGAGGTAAAGAATTGAAAACTCATATTTTTCTTTCTTCCAGAAAAAAACAATATTAACACATATAAAGAACCCTGGCGACATATAGTACATTGCATTTCAGGCTGTTAAGTGAAAGTTCAGTGATTCAAATCCCCTTAGTTTTCTGCAAGAGAAAGATGGAAGTTGTCCTCTTAAAAGTTTAACAGCCCTTGAAACTCAATGGAAGGGCATTTTGAGTTGCAATTATTCAACAGCAGTGAGTTTGGGTATTTTAGTGGTCATAGGGATTTAGTTGGTTGCTGTTTTGTTTTTTTTTTCTATGTGTGTATATATGTGTGTGAGTTGGAATGTGTAGTGACTTCTATTGGGTTTCAGATACTGAACATCTTTATAGTAAGGAGTTGCCCATCTTTTTTCTCCGAAGCATCTGTTGTTATTATGTCCCATCAAGTCAGAACCAACTCATAGCTGACTCTTCAGTGAGTTTTCAGGACCTATATATTGCCCCATCTTTCTCCCGTAACTGGCAGATTGAAATTGCCTGCCATTGGGTTGGCATTACAATTCTTTACCTACTAGGCCACCAGAACACCTTGTGGAGTGCCTAGTGGATTTGAACCATCAACCCTTTTGTTAGCAGCATGGTACATTAGACACTATACCACCGTGTCACTCTGAAGGACCGACATAGGCTCTCTCATGTAGAGCATCTAGTGAGTGGATGACTTTGACCTTTCTGTTAGCAACTGAATGTCTAACCATTGCATCACAAATAACACCATATTTTGATAGCATATCTCTAGATATGTTAATATGTATGTGCTTTTATTATACTTTGAGGTATATATGTGTGTGGGGGGGGAGTATCTTCTTTTACCATACAAAGCATTTGAGCACATACAATTTAGATCAATTGTTGATGACCCTGAGTTGAACAATCAGAAATTTCTCTGAAGCTTTGAAGCTTTCTATACTTTTCTTTGAACTGGTAAACCCACAGACCTTTCAAAGAGGAGCATGTACTAGGTTCCATGTCAGAAATTCTGCAAACATTCAGAGAATTTCTTTGAGTGATATATATATTCAGTGACAGTACCACTTTCTAGATATGTTTTGAAAAGGTGAAATCAGGACATCAAGATATGGGAAAATCTCCAATCAAGGACTTCTCCAAATTATTGAGGAGCAATGACGTTAGTTTGAGAACTAAAATCCACTTTCTTCAGGCCATGACAGTACTTATAGAAAGGCTTCAGGTCTTTGGTTCATTGGGTCCCTATGAGTTGTTCTTGACTCAAAGGAAATCAACAACAACAACATGATGCTAAAAGCTGAACAGTGAATTAGAATGGTAGAAGAATTGATACCTTTGCACTATGGTGTTGGAGAAGAGTACTGAATCAATATCCCATGAACTGATAGGAGAACAGTTATGTCTTGGAGAAGGTGTAGCCTGTGCTCCATGGAGACAAAGGTGATAACAATTCCTCTAACATGCTTTAGGCGTGTGCTGTTCACTGGAGAGGGATATCATGCTTGGGAAGGTGGAGAGACTGCAAAATACAGGAAGACCCTTCAACCTAGTTTCACACAGTGACTATAGCACTTATGGCGATGGCACAATATAGGACAGGATTCTGATTTGTTGTTCATAGTGTTCCTATGAATCATATTCAGCAACACCTAACAACAACAACCATTTATTTGCCAACTTACCACATAGAATAATGAAATCAATTTATAAAAAAATAACTATCTTGTAGCTAATTATCTTAACATTTGAGTCACCCTTAAAAAAATCCATTTTGGCTTTTTCTTTTGGATTGAATTAAATAGTAGGGAGTTATATTCTGAACAATGTTCTCTATTTTTGTATGTGTTTGGGGGTGTGTTGTTTTTGTTTTTGTTTTAATTTTAGTCTTCTTTTTCTACTTAAGCATTTAGAATAAAAAAAAAACACACCCAGAAATTAATGTTCGAACTGGGATATTAGTTTCAGACTTAATACCTATTTGTATGCTATCCTTTGGTGGTTTTAAAGCTAACATTTTTCTCCTAATAATAACTATTAAAGTCAGAGTAAGATATGTCTTAAATAAAATGAGCTTTTAAATGAAAATCAATAGTGCATTTCCATAAAAATATATAGCTTTAAGGACTACATCAGACCTTATTCCTAAACATAAATGTGATTTTCTGTTTTTTTAAGTCTTGAAAAGTAATTTTGAGGTTTTACTATTCATTTAAAGGGTGTGGCTATTATATCTGGTAATCAATAGTCTATTAAAAGCTACACTGAAATATATCCAGTCATTAAAGTGGAAAATTCACATCAGAAGAATGTAGACTTTAACAAATAAGATTTCTTAAATAAGCCTTCTAATACATTATTTATCTATTGCCGTTTTCTCTCATTTATTCCCCTCAAGCAAGAAATATAATTTTGGTTCCTTAATAGTTTCTCTCGTATGCAATAATCTATTCTTCTCATTCTATCTCCCTTATGTGTGCATATATCCACGAGGGCATATATGAATGAAATTGCAGACACACATGCAGCTACATATAATTGTCGTTGGCGGCTACTTAGATTTTTTTTTGTTAATAATTTTGTCTCATACCGTGTTAATTTTTATAGGAAGCATTATCTCACACCCAGCACTTAGTATATGATTAACATATGGTACTACAATATATAGTACCGTGGTAGAACACAGAGCTCTGGGGCATTGGCCATGAAGAGTTCCATTGCTGATCCCCAGCCCACCAGGGGCTCCGCAAGAGAAAGACGGGCCTTCTCCTCCTGTGCAATTTACATCCTCACAAACCCACTGGCCTATTCAGTGTTTTATTACAGTAAACAATAATTTTAATGGAGAATATGCTGTCTGTTTTGAAGATTGAAGTGCCTGTGTATTAAAATACTAGGTTTTGTGTATTAAAACATCTGCTCTCATGGGATTTACTGTCTCTGAAGTCTGGCTGGATTGTTAACTGTGAGTTGGCTCTGACTCGTCAGTACACAACAACAGTCCAGTTTGAGAACTAGGAAGGGTCTGAGATTTTTACCTGCAGGGAAACTGTCGCATTTAGCTTGCCATAGTTTAATAAATACTAGCAGAAGACAATACTATGGGGCCAGAGGCAGAGAAGGGTTTGTTACTAACAGCAATGCTAACCACTGTAGTATCAACATTTTTCAATTCCTGAGCCTAGCTTCCCAAAGGAAAATACAATGAGCCAAGTGATACCTGCCCTCATTGTGGACTGTACAGCTAGAGAGGAACCTGGACTGATGGGTGTAAGCCCTGTTTACCTTCGTCCCGGAGAAAGGCACTATTATACTGGAGGATACGCAAATCCATTTGCTTAAGATAGAGTCTGGTTTTTGTCTTCCAACTTTATGCATTATACAGATATCTTTGAAAAGAGTTTGGAACATTTTGCTTGATTAGTGCTTGTATCTGAGGAATTTTCGTTGTGTTCTCCATCTTGAATTCTCCATTTCGTTTCCAGGGTTTTTTTTAAGATAAAATCAAATCCTTTTGTCTTGGCTTTAACCTATACTTTTTGAGTCAATTATACCTCAGTGACCCTTAAGGGCAGTCTAGAACTACCTTCTCCAATACTGTTACATCCAAAAGCAGGCTGTTTGAATCCACCAGCTGGTCTGTGGAGAAAAACAGTCTTCTCCCGTGCAGTTCACAGCATCTAAAAGCCTATTTGGAAGGTTAGCTATGAGTCTGTTTCAGTTTGATGGCAAGTAATATCAGCAAGCTTTAGGGAAACCCACCACCACATCCTTCTACAGAAAAGAGGTTGGAATCAAACCACAGGAACATGACCATTGCATCACCAGAGCTTCTTTGTTGTTAGGTACCATCAAATCAAGTACAACATCTAGTGACCCTGTAAACAAGCGACCTGCACCCTCTCCTATCCTGTGCCATACTTTTATTCACTGACACACTTGAGCCCATTGCCATAGACACTGTATTATCCAGCTCATTGAGGGCCTTCCCCTCTTCAACTGAGACATCAGTGATCCAAGCATGATAGTCCTTTGGAAGGAATACCTACTCCTAACAACGTGCTCAAAGTACGTGAGATGTGAGATGAAGCTTCACCATTCTTGCCTGTAAGGAGTTCTCTGGTTTCACTTTCTCCCGTGCTCAGATGAGTCCCAATTAATGGGTCTTCAACTTCCTCACTGATACAATCTTTCATTACTATACTGACCTTCATTCTAACTCTCCAAACTTCCAGCCACCTTTGCATTAGAGGTCCCTTCTACATTTATGTTCTTCCCACGGATCATCACAGCTTCTTCTTGATTTGAGATTTAGTTTAAATGCCAAATCAACCAGTAAGGTTTTATCTCACAGTTGATTGTGAAGTAACCTTGGAGGTGTCACGTCACATTTTTCTGGTTTCTTCCATTTTCCTTCATGCCATGCAACTGTTGTCTGTTCTCTACCTTTTTTCTCTACCTTATAGAATGCAAACACTTCAGATCCTTAAAACAGTAGCATTTAGTGCTTCCTTAGCACTAAATGTAAACAAATTAGTTAATATTCCCTTTGGGATTATAGTACAGATTCTTTGGCCTCCAGAGCTCCCTCACACTTATCAGATACTTAATGATTTATGTGTGTATCTTTTAAGAGACTATTGCTAATGCAAAAGAAGTAACTATTATCTGAAAGATAGTTATTCATGATCATCCTTTAGTTGTCCTTTTTTATGGAACTATTATTGTTAAAATTATTTCTTTTCATTCCTGTATCTGCAATAGCAAGCAATGAAGGAGATTGCCAAAAAAAGAGAAGCTGAGGAAAAAGAAAAACGTGCGAGAATAGCCAAAGAGTTAGCAGAGAAAGAAAGACGTGAACGCCAAGAAAAGAAAAAGCGCTTATTGGAAATGAAGACTGGTAAGTGTTATCAGAGGTGCTCTTTATAGTTACCTGTAATTTTCTCTTCTCTTCATTAGCATTTTAATGTACTTTGTTGGAAAAGAAAGCCATTTTCATTCATGTGTATGGTTAAAGCCTAACTCAAATCTTTTTTTTTTCCTTTATGGTTTCCCTTTACCCATCTGTAGTTTTCCAACAAATAGTATACTGTTTTGCATGGATCATAGTTGATTTGATCTTGAGGTGTACTTTGTGGGCTTTAGTATATTCTCATATCTCTAAGAAATCAATCTGTAAGAAGTTATATTGGTTAATAGGAAGTGAATGCTGTTTTGTTGTTATGTGCCATTCAGCCAGAAAATGACTCAGAGCTGAGTTTATAAGTAGCTTTTCAGAGACTTGGGAAAAGGCTGCCCATTTTTCTCCTATGGACCATCTGGTGGATTCAAACCACCTTCCTTTGGATTACCAAAAAATTTTGTAGCACTAGGCCACTAAAGCTCCTTGGAAAGTGAACAGCTATAAGAAACAGACTCTAGAAAATGCTACAGGCATATATCTTCTCTTCAAGTGAGGGAGTAAATGTGGTAGGGGTGTTTATTAATCAAGAAGTTAAGGAGTGGAACAGAAGATTTCAAAGGGCAGCTTGGGAAGACAAAGCAAAGTATTATAATGAAATGTGCAAGGAGCTAGAGTTGAAAAATCAAAAGGGGTGAACTCACCCCGCATTTCTTAAACTGAAGGAACTGAAGAACAAATTTAAGCCTTAGCTTGTGATGCTTGAGGATGTTGAAGGCAGAATGATGAATGACCCAGGAAACATCAAATTAAGATGGAAGGAGTACACAGCGGCACTATAGTTAAAAAAAAATTGGTTGACCCAGAAGAATTTCTAAAACAACATATTATAAAGAACCTATGGTGATGAAGGAGGAAGTTCAAGCAGCTCTGAAGGAATTGGCATAAAACAAGTCCCCGAGAATTGATAGAATACCAATTAACATATTTCAACAAACATATGCTGTCCTGGGTGTGCTCACCAGGTTATGCCAAAAAATATGGAGGACAACTACCTGGCCAACTGACTGGGAAAAATGTGTATTTGTCCTCAGTCCAAAAAAAAGGTGACTCGAGAGTGTGGAAATTATTGAACAACATCACTAATATCACACTCAAGTAAAATTCTGCTAAAGATTATATAATAATGAATGGAACAGTACATCAGCAGAGAATTGCCAGATGTTCAGGCTGAGTTTAGAAGAGGCTGTGGCACTAGGAACATTTTAGCCAATGTTATATGGATCTTAGCTGAAAGCAGAAAGGACCAGAGGAATGCCTATTGTGTTTCATTGGCCATGTGAAGACTGTAGATCACAACAAATTATAGATAACCTTGAGAATAACAGGAATCCCAGAACACTTGATTGTGCTCATGCAAAACCTATACTAGGACCAGAAAGCAGTAGTTAGAACAGAGCAAGGAGACAAAGCATGGTTCAGGATCCGGACAGGTCTGCATCAAGAATGTATCTTATCTCCATACCTTTTCAATTTATATGGAGAATAGATTTTTGGGAGGCTGGACTCTATGACGAGGAATGTGACATCAGCGTTGGAGGAAGACTCACCAACAATCTATGTTATACAAATGGCACAACCTTGCTTGCTGAAACTGAAGAGAATGTGAGGCATTTGCTGCAGAAGGTCAAGAACTGTAGCATTCAATATAGATTAAAGCTCATTATGAATGGGGGAAAAAAGATTCTCACCACTAGGCCAAGCAGCAGCTTCATGATAGACAAGAGAAGAAATTGAGATTGTTTATTAGCTTCAGCTTGCTTGGTTCCACATTCAAGACTCTTGTTACCAGCAGTGATGAAATCTAAAGAAAAATTGCACTTGGAAATTCTGTTGTCAAGGACCCCTCTAGAGTACTGAAGAGCAGTATTGTCAGTCTGGAGATTAAGGTGTGCCTGATCCAGACCATGTCTTCACAGTTAATTGCTATGCATCTGAGAGCTTAAAAATAACTAAGGGTAATAGAAGAAGGATTGATGCCTTTGAGTTGTGGTGCTGGAGAAGAGTGTTGAACATACCACGGACTGCCAGGAGAACAAACAGGACTGTCCTGGAGAAAGTGAAACCAGAGTGCTCCCCTAGAGACAAGGATTTTGAGACTTCATCTCACATGGCCAGAACGGACCAGTCTTTGTAGAGGGACATCGTGCTTGGAAGGGTGGAAGGATAACACAGAAGGGAAAGACCCAGGTTGAGATGGATTGACTCAATGACTGGAGAAATAGGGTTAGGACTTATGGAGAGGATGAAAATGACTCAGGGGAGGACAGTTTTCAGAGCTAGTGTATGAGTTACCTAATGTCTATGCCTAATATCTATGAATGATGGTGACTTGATGGCATATAACAACAGCAACATCAATGAAACCCAGCATCTGGAATTCATTTTTAGTAAAACTGAGCAAATAATTTGAAGAAAAAACTGTGAGAAAATGTTTAATACCCTCCCCTCCATCATGTCAATATGTTTTAAAGTACTTTTGAGAGATGTTATTTTATTCTCCTCAAACTAATTCTTTGCTGTCTAGTTGAAACCAACTGATAGCTGTCCTTCCAATGAGTTTCTGAGCCTATAAATCACGATTTTGCAGAAGCATATGTACACGTTTCCAAAGCAAAATTATACCACTAACATAGATGCAAAAAGAATTTCATAAATTGCAGTTATATTTTCACTTCCTGAAAAGTCTGTATCTTCCACCTCCAAGCCACTAAGGATTGCGGAAAGCTTTAATTAAAATCCATCAGCATCACTGCTAAATTACCATGGTTTACAATTCCGGCTGTAAATTCCCCCCAGCTTTCCCCAGGGACACACAGAGTTGCCTACTTTGCCTTCTTTACTTTCACTTTTACAGACATTTTTTATGTTTAATAAAGCAAACTGAGTACCTTAATGTATCTCACTGTTTCTTCTAGGGAAGAAAAATTATCAAGCACAGTTTTGTGTTTACAAGAGAACATTTGAAATTCAGAAAAGATTTTATAAAAAAAATTTAAGTTTCACGATAAGCAAAGTCCATAGTCTATAAGCATATGTGGGTATTTGAAATATACTTTGTTGTTGTTGTGTGTACTGAAGAGTTAGAGTTTTGACCCTCCAGTGGGTTATGATCAGAGGCAGTAAATCACATGGGAGGATATTGCCTATATTTCTCCTGTGCAGCATCTGGTGGATTTGAACAGTGTACTTTTATGAATTGGTTCTAGAAATAGGGATATCCAATGGGGATCTGAAAAGACAGGGCAATGCTGGGCATACTTAATGATGATTAATTTAATAAAGTACGAATGGGAATGATGATATGAAACACAATGTGAGAAGGATAGTGTGAAATGCAATGTATGCACACTTTATAAGCAAACCAAAATAAAATAAAAATTTAAAAAGGAAAAAAATTATTACTACCTAGTTAATGGAACAGTACATTTGAAAATTTGGGTGGATTAGCTAAAGAGTCATGCATAGGTGATTTGTTTGAGGCATAGGAGCAGTATCATTTTTTACTTTCTGACTCAGTACCTAAAATAGTACCTTTCAACAATCTCTATTATGTGCATTTGAAAAGTTGAAAATCTGATACAATGCAAAAATTATAATAAAACCTCATTTTTAATGTTTCTAATGATGACTAAATTTAGTATTTCCTTTGCCCTGAATAATACTTTTAGAATAGTACATTTATTTTCCAATTATAAAAGTTATTATATTGTTATTGGACAATATGAAGAAGAATGTGGAATCAAGGTTTGAAGATTAGTCACTAGCTTGCATCATCCAGATGATAAAACTTTGCTTGCAGAAAGTGGAGACTTGATCCACTTTACTGCAGAAGGTCAAAGACTACAGCCTTCAACAGGCAACAGTATGATCAATGGAGTAAAGATTAAAGTTGTGAACAGCTTCATTTTACTTGGCTCCACAGTCAACATCCATGGTAGCAGCAGTCAAGAAAGCAAAAGACATGTTGAATTAGGGAAATCTCCTATGAAGGATCTCTCCATCCTTTCCTGGTAGAAAGTATTGACTATCTTACGGACTGCCAACAGAACAAACTATTCTGTCTTGTCGAAAGTACTCCCAGGGTCTTCTTGAAAGGCAAGAATGGTGAAACTTCATCTCACATACTTTGGACATGCTGTCAGGGGCCAATCTTAAGAAAAAGATTTCATGCTGGAAAAGTTAGAGGATTAACAAAAGAAAGGATGATATTCAAGGAGATTAATCGACATAGTGACTAATAATCAGCTCAGGCATGGCAGAGATTGTGAAAAATGGCACAAAATAGATCAGGATTCTCTGTTGTTAGTAAGAGAGTTATCAGTTGGAGTTACCTTAAGTGCACTAAATCATAACAAGAAGTTACAGGAAACATAAGTAGTAAATTAAAAGATTCCTAATTTCCCTATATGTTGACTTATTGTTAACATTTTGATACATTTTTCTACTCAATTTTTATTGTCTACTTTTTCTTAGTAGCTATTATTCTAATAAATATGCAGTTTACTGCTTTCCCTGGTTTATATTTTTGAAGATCAGTTGACTTTTTAA